TTTTTTTTTTTTTTTGCTAACCCCACCCCCATTTTATCAATGTTCACAAGTAAATCAATGGTTAGGGACATATATAAAAAGTCATAAGAGTGGAATCAAATTTCTATTTAAAAAAGATGTTTTTGTTGTACCAGTAAACATATTTGCAAGAAACCATGACTTTTTCAAGTGAAAAAAGATGGAAAAAGGACCGTTTGAAATAAAAATATATGTTGATTGAAAAAAAAAAATAAATAAAAATATCCCAAAAAGTGACGAGGGAGCAGGTGATAAACTAATAATTTTTTTTATGGGGCCTTACTAATTTTTGAAGTAATTATTGTACGTGTGAATTTCATGTGAACACACATCATAGTCAAACAACAGCACCATACAATATAAAGAATGACATACAATACGGCAAATAGATAAGTTTTCATAAACGTTTAATCAAAAAACTTCACTCTGCAAACTCAGACATTCTGGCAATTTCTTACTGATTGCAAAATGGCAGCCGCTCGTCATGCTAGCGAACACAGATTCGGTGTACTTATTTGTGGGCTTATTTGTTGAAAAAGGTACTTTGTGAGTGGTTAAATCAGGTGAAAATGTTTGTTGATTATATGTTGTGACTGTGAGAAAAACGTTGAGGTAAAAAAAATGAAGAATTAAAAGTTGGGTGCGAAAGTGCATTAGCGCCGGCCATTGGTCAGCTACCCGGCATCCTCTCGGTTTAGCTAGTATAGTTGTGAATAATTTCTCGCTTGAGAGTCCACACCCATTCCCACCGTGCACTGTTTTGAGGTCTCATTCAGAATCATTGTTCTACATTTTAATGTGAAGCAATTAATAACTGCCTTGACTGAGTCTGGCGATATGAGATGAGTGCTCATATCACCAGTTAATCTCAGCCTCCCATGTTGAATTTTGCTTCAATTCAAAGCAACTGACAAGCGATTAAATTAGGGCACATAGAAAAAATTATTAGATTATCACTCTTTTTTAAAAAATAATTGATGAGGGAGGGCGTTTTTTTTTTTTTTAATTGGAACAATAGATTATTTCACTTACGTTTTTATCGATGAGGGAGGAACTGTTTATATTTGGCTAGTAATAGTAAATATTGTATAAAGACTGGTTTAATTGAATTAAATTACAAAATTGCATTGTTATTTTTATGCTGTTGAAATAATTGATGCGGCAAAAAAATATTTTTGTTTTTATTCCCGCATCAATATTTCCCGAATTTTTGACGCAGACGGGAGTGATAATCTAATAAATTTTTCTATTTTCCCTTATCATGTGACGTCGTAACCCACTTAGTTTAGCCACTGACTCTAGTCAAGCTATCGTCCCACAACACGTGCAATTACTAACGGTGATTAATTTATTCCTAGACCACATTGTGAAATTTTTAAAACTGTTTTAGCTATAAGGGTCCAAATTTATATAATTCTATTCCAAATTCTATTCGTTTATGTACTACTTTTGCTATTTTTAAATTTAAACAGTATATTCTGTAATTTTCTTGCTTATCTTTTTAAAACGTTTATAATTAATGTATTCTCAAATTTTTACAAATTATCTTTTATATATGAATTTTATAAATTTGTGTAATTAAATGACTCTTGTTTTTATTCTTGTATTGTATGAGGGCCCCTAATGATCAGCACTGCTGGATGGGTCACCCTCTTGAAATATGGTATTAAATAAAAAAATTAAAAATCAACTGCATGCTAACGTTGTATCAAATTATGCTAGCATTATATATTTACAGATAATAGGATATTATCGAAGTATTCTGTGCAACTAGGCCTAGTTCTGTCTACTGTATTGTAGATGTGTGATTGCAACTGAAAGTTAAAGTGAGTGCTCGGAAAATTGTTGGGGACAGTGAGTTAAATTGAGGTTTGTTGCTGGGCAACAAACGCTTAGCTTAAGGCTAACCTTTACTGTGCAGCCTGTGTCTATTTCATTGACATTTTGCATGTATTGTAAATCTGTATGTTCTTATTTTATCTTCAGGTTGTTTTTAATGTACATGTCATCCAAGTCGATGCTGGAGACCAACCCAAACTGTGCAGTTACTGGTGTTGTTAAAAACAATAGATCTCAACCAACAATTCATATTGGTTTTGGTAGGTATACTGTATTGCAACAATGACTTCATCCATATGGGGTAAAATAAATGCATAAAACAAAATATGCAAAATTGGCTTAGAAATCTGCCAACAAGTTTGTGGACAGATTTATCAGACAAAAGAGTGCAGCTAACAGTAATTCATTTGGGTGTATTGCAGATATAGAGAGGTTAAAATGCAGCACAAATTCTACTACAGTCTAAGTCTACTATTGCATGGGGAATCACTGAGCTTAACATTGTAACTCACAGATTATCTTCTGATATTTTAAACTTGTTTTATTTTATTTTATTTTATTTATTTTTTTGCAGAGGATGGGAAGCAGTTGTTGTTCAAAAGCTCAAATCTAACATTACATGAAATGTTGAAGAAACTTGTTTCCTGGACAGATGAACGAGAAAAAAAGGAAGAAGCTTCGTCGTGATACATACTATTTTTAGAGTATTCCCTTCTTTGAATTAAGGCAGCAAATATATCAGACGTATCCACATGGTTGGATTTCCCAGGTTGATACAATTATCTGAATAAAATGTATAGAACAGATGGGTTAAAGCGACTAGAAAATGCTCTTTGCTAAAAGTTTACCTTTCCGAAGTGTTGGTGAAACTGAACAACTGACCAATCAGATTGCTTGGATGCCAAAACCCACAATCACACAAGTTTATGACCACACACATCAGCCATGCTTCTCTGTGAGTGGCTGTCTTATTGTCAGACCTTAGCAACAGTATCCAAGGGTGGGGCTTTTTGGAATGGTCCATTTATACAAGAGGATCTTTGACTTCAAATGGATAAAAAAAAGTGTATTATGTCCATCCATCCCAGGTAATGCTATCTTGTAGGACATTTGAAATATAGTGAGAAGACACTTACTGGAGTCACTAACTGTTACTCATCCCTGCTTTTTTAAGTAGCAAATTCTTAATGTTTTATTACAATGGTCATGACAGTATAATGTGATGTGACTTGTAATTATAAAATAAATAATGTTATTACTCAAATTATTTTAATGTTATATTTTCATTTTGTTAGTTAATTGGTTTTGTTTTTAATAATATTCCCAAATAATCTTGATTGCAGTAAAAAGACAGATTGGATATTACAGTATTTGTCAAAGAGTAAGCATCCGGAAAAAAATAATAAATAAATAAACATCCAAAAATAATTTGGACATTCAAGAAATATTTAAAAAGCACAAAGATGTATTATTATACCCAGATAATACAACGTAGATCTGTTAAAGATTCTTTGAGATGCATAGAGATGCTATACCCAGATAATACAACGTAGATCTGTTAAAGATTCTTTGAGATGCATAGAGATGCTTTAACAACATAATGTATTTCAAAACATTTTGTTTGACTAAAGCTAGTAGATTTCTCCATGCAATATTCTATTCTTCTTCTCTTTAAATTTATAATGATTGCTTATTTTATTGAGTTTGAATATACAGTACTGTATATATTCAGTGTGATTTAAATTATCTAGCCCATAATTAGCCATACACAATATAGTGTTCGATAAGAAAAAAAAATGAATCTATTCAACTAATTCTGAAAAAAAAAACACCCGGAAGACAGATGCAGAAAACCTGGAACATCGCACCTTTCTCCTTTAAATAAACATAATTGAAAAGCAGTACTGTAGTTAAATACGCTCAGTTCATAGATGCATTAAAACGATGGAACTTGTCTATGATATCCTAAAAACTACAGAAATAAAACATTAATATAATAATGGGAGAATGGAGAGTGGACTAAATCAAATAGTGAAAAGATGTGAGATTTTAAACTTCACTTAAATAGAATAAGAGATGATGTTCATTACCTGCTTGGTGACAATGGTTTTTAGGCTGCTTTTGTGCTTTCTTGGTAGCTCAGAACTATGGCATTTTAAAATTAATGTACTTGTTAATGCTATGTTCGTTTTATTTATTGATTTGTATTATATTTTGTATATTGTATCTTTGCCTGAATAAATAATAATAATGATAACTGCCTAAAGCCCTGGTTAAGTCACGAAGAGGTAAGTAAGAGGTGTTTCTACAGTTTTACTTCAATGTGTATTTCGCACTCAATTAGAAACCCTCAAATTCTAGACGAAAAATTACCTACTGACCACCTACCCTGTTCTTAGCATTGTACAGTATAATTATTTGAAGGGGTTATATCTGACAATGCTACAGTTGAAAACTTTAAACAAAATATTACTTTAATATTAAATTTAAACAAGAACAATTACTAATGGGTGCGTGTCAGAGGCGGGTCCAGAAATTTTCTGACTGGGGTGCCCAATAGGTATTCCACACCTCAGCCCCACCATGGTGAGCAAATTTTAAGAATAGGCCCCGTTAGACGCTCGGAAATGGCACTCTCAGATGATAAGAATGCTTTTTAAAAGCAGTGTTCCTAGACAAAATTACTGACTTCCTCCCGACGGGAGGTATGCTCCCCCTCCCTTAGTTACCCCTCCCCTCACGGGCGTAGCAAAGGTGTAATCACGGACCTATAGTCTATTCTATACTGGGAGTCGCAATGCAAATTATGGTTATGGCAAATTATTATTAAATAATGAATGGCCCGGAAATGGCACTCATTCAGACTTTTAATATTTTATCTCCATTCTAAAAAATGTGGGGGGGGGGGGCTCTTTGTCGGCTGGGCAACCCACCCCACTGGATTAATGATGTCCTACAGTCGATGTCAGTGACACATTATGCTGTTATGTATCAATAAAGCCCTTTTGGATCAGGGTGCTATAGAGCGAGGACCCTACTGGCCCCTATGGGTAGGAGCACCGAAGGGTCGGTGGCCCTTACTTTAAGAATAGGCCCCTCTAGGCGCTTGAAAATGGCACTCTCAGACAGTAAACATGCTTTTTCAAAGCAGTGTTCTCTCGACAAAATTTTTGATTTCCTCCCGGCGTGAACTTTGCTTCTCCTCCCTTAGACATCCCTCCCCTTACGGGCGTCGCAAAGGTCTAATCAAGGACCTATACCGTACTCGCACGAATAAGCGCCCCGTTTGAATAACCGCCCCTCCTAACGTGAAAATTTCCTTAAGCGCCCCGTTTGAATAAGCATCTTATGATAATAATATCATAAGATTTTCCTTTTAGCAAGTCAATAATCCAATCAATCCTGGGACTGTGGTTGTTGGCATGATTTGAGCTGCAGAGTGGAAACACATTCTTCTTAGGTCAATATCAAAATGAGGATATTTCTCTTAGACAGATGAGAGCTCCGATCACTGGACTGACATTATATTTCCAACTTTACTCTTTTTACATATTTCTCTTGCCTAGTCCTACTCCCCGTTTTCTTTTTCCGAACTTCAGCACATTCTCATCTGAGTTTTCAAGAAAAAATACAATGATCCTGCCATCCTGCTAATCAATCGGCCGATGGCCAACAAGCTAACCACTACCCACCACCACTAATGCATCTGCTATTTTGCTGTAATGTAAATATTCACGCATTCTTGTCATGAGCCATGTTCTCTGGACTATTATCTTTTCCGCCTAATCATCATTCGTAATGTCCTTATATAATCTTTTTTCATTCAAAAAGTGCCTCTTGAATTTAATAATTTCTCGTAAGAACCCCTCGATTTTCATCTGTTTCCATAAGCGCCCCTCAATTTCCACTCTGTTTCCATAAGCGCCCCGTTTGAATAAGCGTCCCTCAGAAAGTGAAAAAAAATATTTTAAGCGCCCGGGCGCTTATTCGCGCGAGCACGGTCTATTCTAGGGGAGTCTCAATGCAAATTATGATTATGGCACCTCTAGATGCCCGGAAACGGCATTCATTCAGACTAAAAATTTGAATATTTTATCTCAATTACAAATGTAGGGTGGCCCTGGCCGGATGAGCACCCACCCCACTGGATTAATATGATATTATGTCATACAGTCGATGTCAGACACACATTATGCTGTCATGTATTAACAAAGCCCTTTTGGATCATGGTGTTGCTAAAAGAGCGAGGACCCTGGACCCTTGGGGCACCAAAGGGGCCCCAAGGGTCGGTGGCCCTGCAGACCACCGCATGAAAGCGCATAGGCGTTCTATAGCTGGGTGCTAAATTCCGGCTTAAAAACTCCCTCATTAGGTCTCCGTCTTTTGGCCTTTTTTTAACATCCTGATTTATGAAATCGTTGGAAAAAATCGTCGTCAGGGATATAGCGTTGTGTTCGTCGTCAATCAAAAGAAAAACCATTGCGGAGAAAAAAAAATGATATGCATTTAATAGTAGATAATCCACCTATAAAATCGATGAAATAAGCCTCTGAAACCCCTAAATAGTTGCATGGTACTGTACCTTTATGTAATAATCAGTATTCTATTATTTTACTGTTTACAATGATGACCTTTCCCTAATTTTGGCTTTTTCAGAAACATACAAATGAACTTGTTCATTTCATGTGCTCTACTAGTCACATGATATTTTAGTAATTGGAATTTTACATTCTCTTTAATGCAATCATTTACACAGATTAGAGGGAAATAGAAAAAAAAAATAATTGTTTAGGTTCCTGGATTTGATGTGCCTTAAAGAGCATCTAATTTTATATACTGATTTTGGAGACTGCTTTTAATTTTACGCATGGTCTCAATTTTTACGCTTTCGATTTCAATTCCCCTCTAATCATGCCGGTTATAGATCAGTCTCAATGAACGCCAAGATCACCCAAACTGTTTAGGTCCCAAAAGTGGTCTTTGATAAACTAATTCCTCCATGATGAAACCAGATCAACTCCGCAAAAACTTGAAGTATGATATTGTAGAGGGCGCTATACGAAATTTATTTTGTCTTTCACCTTGGTAACGAGAACGCTAGGTGACGTTAGAAAACACACTGACCACCGACGAAGGAAGGAGTGTAAACGGTGGGCTGAAATTCTTCATTGATTTTGTTCAAATTATATCCCTGTTTTACAGGAAGAAGTTAATGCAAAAAATGGCACTGCCATTTCTACCTGGAAACACATTCACTGATCCCACAGTAAGTAGTTATTAAATTTACTGAAACTTTTAATTAGTTTTGAACGAGATTAGTTAGGCCTACCTAGGCTTATATGGTTATGGACTCGCGTTGCCTTTAGTTCCGCCCGGAGATTAAATCAACCACCACCACGTCCAAATCAAAGGAGAGATGGTGGACCAAGCAGAAAGTGCAGGGCTAGGCTTAGCCTAGCTAGCTAGTAGACCTACCTTATTGTGCTTGGGCTCCTGTTGAAAATACTACTTGTACTGCTGGTCTTCCGTGATACAGGATCACATATTTTGTATTAATCCTTTTTGATCTTTTTTTTTTTTTTTCAGAAAAGAAAATATCATCTATCGCAAAGTTTAGGTTATAAAAATGGTTATGCTCTGCCTGCAAGGCCAACAGTTGGTATTGGAGGGGAACCACTGGAAGTGAATCAGCTAAGCTTAGCAGAGTTGGACGAGCTGAACAACAAGAGACCAACTTTAACTTATGGCCAAGCAAAGCAGCCACCACCAGAAGACTTCATTCCTGCTCATGTTGGTTTTGATAAAAAGGTATAAACATTGTCATTATATGGAGCATGCCATTTTGTGGAAGCGGTTTGGCGCAGTGGGAATGGTTTGGTTTCCCAACCTCGAGGTCGGGGTTTCAATCCCTGTGCATTTTCCTTGTGTCCTTGAGCAAGACACTTTATCTGCATTACTTCTATTCACCCAGGAGTATAAATGGGAACCTGGTGGGGTTGCCTGCTCCTGCACCTCATTACCAGCAGCAACTCTTAGCATGTGGACCCAACAATGACCAGGGAAAAGAACTGCGCTTTATAACCGGACCCAATAACCAGGGAAAAGAACTGCGCTTTATAACCACAAGGAAGATGAACATAAATGCCTGTACCAATGCCAGTACCAATAACAAAAACAACATCAATGGACAAAAAATGAAAATTGACTTTCTAATGAATATTCATGAATAATATTATTATATTCTAATGAATATTCATATTTTCCACAAAGCTTGAAAATAATGGGTCATTTACTGTAATCCACATAATATTTGCCAAAGTTATGAGTAAAGTATTACAGCTTCTCTGTACTAAATTATACAGTGCCACAATCTTATGCTAATTACTCCGTTTAACACAATACTAATAGCAACAATACGCTGGTTTTGGGATGGCATGACTCATTGTATGTATTTTTTAGGGTTGAGAGTCTTCATTATTTTGAAAATATGTTAAAAAAGCTATAATTGTAAGTCATTCTGCCACTGTACTGTACTGTAGTTTTAAAATGTATCTTTAAAATCTGAATTTTTATCTCTCACAGGTTTTAAAATTTGATGCTTTTTTTCAACAAACTGTTCATGAGTCTCAAAATGAATATTACCGAGTAAGACCAGTTTCAATTTTCTACTATCTGGAGGACGACAGCATCTCTGTGATTGAACCTCACATTGAGAACAGCGGCATGCCACAGGGCAAACTGATCAAGCGAATGCGGCTACCGAAGAACGACCAGGGGGACTACTGGCATTGGAAAGATCTCAATGTGGACATGAATGTCGATTTCTATGGCAAAACTTTCCACATTACCAATTGTGATAAATGGACACAGGTTGGTTTAAAAAAAAAGTCTGGGTGTAGTTGACAAATTCTCAACCTTGATATTGGGATTGGGATCAAATACAATTTTAAATTATGTAAAGAATAATATGAAGGTTCAGGGGCAGATCTGGGTTCAAATTTAGGGGGGGAGGGGGGGGGGGGGGGGGGGTCAAAATCAAAATGTTTAATTCCTAAATGGTGAGAGATGAGCTTTCCTGACTTCTGAGGTGTCTTTTAATGACTTTCAAGTTCTTCAAAATTCAAGGTTTTCCCCCTCTTGAAAACAGTCGGGTAAATTTTCGCATTTTTATTACAGTAAATAGGCCTGTTGTGTGTGTATATACATACAGAAGCAAAAATTGAGTAATGTAGTTCTGTTCTAATTTTCCCATTGTAACAAAATAAATTTCAGTCCACGGGTCATGAAAAGAATTGTTATATGTCTCATTCAACAGGAATACATGGCCAGCGAAGGTATTGAATTAAACCCCCCTGCCCCTGTTCCAAGTGATCCATACATCGAATCAAGAAAGGAGTCTGCTGCCCTGAGGACTTACAAGACGCCCTCAAACTTTGACAAGCTCCGACAGTTCATTGAGCTTGACGGCAAGGTATGTACTGTATTTAGAAAAGATTTTTGAACAACTATAAACACACCAATGTAATGGTTACCTAGTTTTTAATTCATTTTCAAATCTATATTATTTATGAATTAATGTTTAGATAATTAATATGATTATAAATTGATGTGAAAATGTCTATGAGATATACAGGGGCATGGTATGTTTAATTTCCAGTGTGTTATTTACTGTTCATGATGAGATACACTCTCAGGCAGCTGACCATGTACACCACCTGTGTTTTATCCTAATAAACACTATAATATAAAGAGCACACTGGCTTTGCCAGTAATCTCGGTACAATAACAACAAAGCGTTGTTATTATTACTATTATTGTTATAATTTATGGTGAGCTCGTAGAAACCACAGCATGGTGTAGGGTCATCCAGATAATATTATTATTGCACTATAATTGAAAGCAGTAGCTAAGTAAAAAGGGACATGATTTCTCCGCCTTCTGTTTTTAAGTAAGATGTAAAGTATCATTATAAATTTCCATTCTCTCACAAGGTGTTGCGTTTCTACTGCGTTTGGGATGACAGGAACAGAATGTTTGGTGAGATGCGGCCGTACATCATCCAGTATTACCTGGTGGATGACACCGTCGAAGTACGAGAAGTTCATGAGGCTAACGATGGACACGATCCCTTTCCTCTTCTTCTTAAAAGGCAAAAGCTGCCAAAGAACAGAGACAATGTTGAATGTAAGTACTGTAAAATGAAGCCCCAATGACACAAATTCACAAAAATCATTTTTTTTACCGAAAGTGGAGTCTAAAGTAACGTTTATTAATTTTATAAACTTAACCATGAATTTTAGCTCAGTGATTACATTACAAACCAGAATATGTAAGGAGTGATTTGTGGATGAACCTGAAAAATCCTGTTTCACACAAACGTTATATATTTTTCAATATCACTGCTTGGAAAACAAATAATTAATAGTCATCTTAGTTGTTTAAAGCAGTAAATTAGGGTTAAATGAAAATATATGAATTCAGAAGAGTTACAATTATGCAAATTTTCTTTTTTCTCTTCAGCGTCATTTCCTTCTGTTGTCATGGAGCTTTCAGAACATGAAATTAAAGATTGGTACACCCCCGTAGACTTCAGTATCGGTCGAACGGTTTACGTTTACAACCGTCCATTTCTCATCTACGATTGTGATGAGTTCACCAAAGCTTATCTCTACAAAAAATTCAACGTAAAGGATTTCACACCTGTTGAAGTCAAAGGTCGTGCACGTAATGTACCCAAAATGGTAAGTGCCTTTAGTATTGATATTACTGCTATTTATATATATTTCTTAATGTATTGTACTTATTCTTATGTTTCATCGAGGACCTCAAAATAAGTATACTTCAGTGGGTGTCTCTTGGTGTGTTTAACGATAATAATACTAAACCATACCAGTCATCTAATATACAGGAATAACATAATAAATTCCTCAAACATGTTTACATCAGTGATACACTACTAAGAATATTATTATGTTATTGTTATTATGTTATTTTTACACTCTTTAAAAATCCTTTGGAATACTCTATTATTAAAGTAGAAGACAATGTTATAAAAAAAAAGTACAGTGTCCTTGGAAAATATAATTAGGTTGATATAAAAGTGGCATTAATATTCAATAAACGCTGTTCTATTATTGTCTAGTCCAAATATGAAAAGATTACTTAATATAATGCTTCCAAAAAAAATTGATTAGACCTGAGATTACCATTGGTTGTCATTGCAAATTGACTAGGAAACCTTCAAGTACTAGTGATAAAAATTTCCTGATAATGTAAATGTGCTCGTAGCTATAATAGAGTCGAGTAAGACAGCCGTCTTGCGAGGAGCCGGTGAAATACCGTCTTCAATTATGCTCTAGCTCACTGGTTCCATTCATGCTGATGCATTTATGTATTGATTTATTTGTCCATTATTGAGATAGCACAGGTAACCATGGCAACACCCATATAACTGCTTTATTGCCTTTTTTTTGTAATAAGGTGTGCCAGTTAATGCGCTTACTTGAGCGTGCATTTGTGTTTATATGATACCGTTATTGATTTTAATCTATTTAGCATTATTCTTTATTAATATTATTATTTATCTATTTTTAAAGTGTTTTATTAATAGCTTTAGGCTATGGATAGGATATTAATATTAACATTGCTTCAGAATTACTGTATTTTCTATCATCGATTGATGTGGATATATTTGATAGAGAAATGTTGGTGAAATATATATAAAAAATATTATTATATTGATAAATGTATGATTATTATTGTCATGATTTCAGATATAATAAAAACATGTACATCGGAGATATAATAAAAATCTATGATGTGCATGTTTTTATTATATCTGAAATTATTGTCATGATTTCAGATATAATAAAAACATGTACATCATAGATGTTATTATCATTAAATTATTATTGCTATTGTTACTTTTCTTTAGTATTATGTTTATTACTTCTTAATTATATATTGTTATGTTACTTAGGGAGTAAGGAACGTTAACTTTTGCTACAGTGATTTAATTCACTTTTAGGTGCCTGCCAGCTTTCTGAGTTGACTGTCATTGTGTTTGTTTATGTTCTAGATTAAGAATAACAGAATTTCAGCTGAAATCCATAGTTTGGGCAAAGGTTAGAAACTTTTAGGTTATGTCACCTCTAGATGCCCGGAATGGCACTCGCTGGCCAGCCGTCTCTGGCTTAGAAAATTATTCTAAATATATTTTCCCAGATGGGTTTTACCACGACTTCCGACGGCCAAGCCAGTTGTTCCCGACAGCAAGCCCATGTGGCCCACCCACTAGTTCCACCCTTGATTAGATAACAGATATCTCAAGAGGTATAAATATATATTATTTACTTAGTGTTTATCTATTATTTACTTATATTTTATAGGACCTACCTCCATATAATGGGTTTGGATCTTTCGAGGATTCTCTACAGTCATGTTTGTCTCTTGTTCCTCAACCTCCTAAAAAGGATTTCATCAAAATGTTAGAGAATGACCACAAAGTACTTCGTTTTGAAGCTGTAATGGTAAGCTCTCCACAAAATCATTTGCCCCTCTTTAAGTATCTTTACTGTTACTGTCTTAAGCAAATGTTAATGAAGCAATTGAATTCAAAATTGTATTTGTGGCAAAGACAAGCCAAACCAATCACTCGTCGCAAATCCTGTTTTGTAGATAATGGCCAAAACATGCTGGAATTTCAACATTTTGGAAATCTGTTTTATTGCACTAAACTAACCTTTATATATCTATAATCATGCTATGCTGTTGTTTTCCCCATTTTCAATGTTAAAACAACAATTTTTAATGATTTGGTGATTGTTTCTGCCCAAGAAATGCCCAAAATCATAAACTTTTGATTGAGATGATTTCTCAAATATTGTTCTTTAAACAGCTGTATGTTTAAACTCCCGTAACTTCACAATGAAATGTTGGATGTAAATGACTCTTTAACACTGTATTAATAACTAAAAATAGAGTTTTGTGACGAGTGACTGGTTTGGGCCGCATTTGTGCAATTGAATGTGTTCATTTATTGTCTTAGGCTTATGTGTATTTTTATGTTACTTCTGTTGTATTATATATATTTATGTAAACATAGAAATTCCCTTCCAATTCATATTTGGGATTCTACATCTTTTTCTTTGTTTAAGGAGAGGCTTAAAACTCACCTTTACTCATCTTTTCAACTCCTTATTTATTTGTTATGTCGTAAATATTTTTCTTTCTTCCTAGACACTTGTACTACATGTATTATATGAATTATATTCCCTACATCGATTATACAGTAATTACAAATTTACAATAAAAGTTCATTTTTAGTGTTTATTTGTTCCGGTTTGATCAGCACTTAATTCTTTTCTTTTTCAAATAATATAATACATGTTAATATAATAATTACAGGATTCTGTTAAGCCAGAGGACAAAGGACGTCGCTTCATCATCAGTTACCGATTAGCAGACGATATGATGACAATCTTTGAACCTCCTGTTCGTAACTCTGGTATTATAAGTGGCAAGTTCCTTGAGAGAACGCGGGTAACAAAACCAGGCTCGCTTCCAAACAACGCTCAGTTCTACGGACCACAAGACTTGTACATAGGCGCTACAGTTGTGGTTTTTAATCATCGATTCGTTATTACCGATGCTGATGACTATGTACTTTTGTACTTAGAAGCACACCAACAGGACTTCCCAGGTGTCCAGAAGACTATTGAGTCCCTTCGCCAGAGACGTGATTATAAAGCATCAACGATTCAAGCACCTAAATCTGTAAAGGCGGCACCAATGAAAATCAAACGAAGGTGAGGACAAAGATGATGTTACTCCATTCCACCACTGCCTCTCACAAATGTTATGTTAAAATCTTTGAAAGGAACGAAATATAGAAGAAATTCAAATTGATGTTATGCTTGTGTTTACGATTCGCCAGGTATTTATTATAGTATTGGCTTATTTTTGTCTAGCAGAGTTTGGTGGAATTCTAGGCAAAGAAAAATGTAAATTACAATTGGTCCCAGTTGAGTAACTGCACCACTGGCAATACAGTATTATGCAGTGTATCATACCTTTACCTTTACAGAGAAAGAATTTCTGATATATGTCATACATATGTTTGACCATAAAACAGATTGATCTACACAAGGAGACAAACCCCCTACCCTTTTCCAAATACCGTAGTGTGCTGTGTCCTCTGTCATGCACTGGGTCATCTTTTACACTGTACCAACAGCACCCATCTCCTTGGAAAGACCCATGGGCTAATCTCTGTTGCAGAAAGTGTAACTTGATGGAATAGGATACTCAGAAGTACATAAAACTCTATGGTTCAGTACATACACAATTGTTATCAACTGTGCTATGTTGTCCTGTTTCTGGACAATTGTAAATTGTATTAATTAATTCAATTATTTACAATAAATGTGATATTTTGTTTGTGTTTTTCAGTCCTGGGGATCTTCAGCATCTGCTAGGGGAAGTGAAATCGCAGCTGAAAAAAGATAACTACACAAACTTTACCTCCCTAACACAAGCATTTCTGAAGTATGATAAAGACAGGTCAGGCAAGATTGATGTTAATGAGGTTAAGAGAGTCTGCCATCGCCAGAATCTTCCCATTGATGATGACCTAATGAATGCTGTAAGTTTTTAGTTTGTATAATTTTAATTGCTTTGTAAAACTTTCTGAGTAGTGAGCCTTTAAGACCTTGGTGGAGTAATGTCCCTACCCCATTCAGCTTGGGTTGGGGTTCCAGGTCATTGGGACCTTAGTGGAGTAACATCCCTACTCCAGGATGCATAGTTTGATTGGTGATGTATGTGGATCATTAAAACCTTAGTGAATTAACGCCCTTACTCTATAACACATAGTTCCATTTATGATAGGTGAATACAGCTCATTAGGACCTTAGTGGAGTGACTTAATTATGACACTTTGATCTTTTTTACAGCTGGTTGCAGAGCTGGATGTTAACAAAGATGGACAGATTGACCATGCAGAGTTTATGAAGTTCTTAACATATTACTGACTCCATTAACTGAAATTTGATTAATTCATTTATTTAATAGATTACTGATCTGCTGACTGATTACATTACCTAAAATTAAATTAATTGCATTTTAAACAGATTAACAATATTTTGGCTGACTTCAATTACTAAAATATAATTATTTTAATATGATCAAAATAATTTAAGGAAAAAAATTTGTAAAATAAATATTTATTAAGAAAATATCTCAGTTTATGTATGAACTGACATGGTCATTTAATAAAATTCAAGAGCGAAGAAATTTGCTATTAAAACTAATTAGCAGTTGTTGTAGTATGTTGATGTCTGTAAAGGGCCACTCACAATTATCAATTCTCAGAAGTATACAAAGAATATTTCTTTTCCCACTCCTAGTACTCCTCCCTCCCCCTCCCCCTCCCTATGAAAACTTGATTTTGCACAAACTCATTCTTCATAATTTTTGCAACAGTAAGCTGAAGTACTTAAGTATGGTACAGCAATTTTAGTCAAAATTTCTATATATTTGTCAGTGTATAAAGGCATCTTAACCCCCACCACCAAGCATAATGTTTGCATACTTTGTGAAAATTAAAATTGTGAATAACCCAAAAGTAGATGTTGCTAAGATAATGCACCCAAGATCATACCTTGTAAATATGTAATTCATTTTTTTTGTATATAAATATGTATACCTGTTTTAGAATATTATTCAAAATACTAAGTTCATATGTTAGTATGATGTATACTTTAATTTCAACCACTAAGCATCAACTGTAGAGAAATGCATTTTAGATTATTGTAAGCTGTTAATAAGGTCACAATTTAATAGTTCACTGGTTCCAATAAGGTACAGTAACATACTGCTTGTTTATTTGTGTCAAAGCCTTCATATAACATCTAGGGTATGACAACAAGCCTCTCCAATGGTTTTAACAGATTCAACTAGTACATAAAATTATTCATTATAAATGTCAACCCTTTGAACTATCGTGTTCAGATTACTCGTGTAGTACTCTGTAGCTCTACTCCTCAACAAGTGTATATATATCATTTTGATAGCAAGATGTTTTCAATAATGATTGTACTGTATATTTGCCAGAGTACAGTATTTCTATGTTTCCATATGTTAAGCAAATACTTATGTACATACAGTGATATAACAATAACATGTTCCATGAAAATCAAAGGTGTGAAAACTAAAGTTGTCTATATTTAGTGAGCTAAAGTTTAGCTGGATTATTAGTACAGTAACTAGATTGATAATATAAAACTGATTGTGATGTGTAGCTTACGCATTACTAGACAAATGGATTGTACCTTCTGTTGCAAATTTGCGGTGTCTATTTATCAATTTATTCAGGTGATAAATTGCTCAGTAAATTCAGTCATGATTGCTTGCCACTTTGTCAATCAACTCGCAACTTCATCATGGTTTCATGGAAACACACTGCATAACAAAGGTTGCCAAGACAACCCATATCTGAAGTGAGAATAAATGTGTAAACATGTTTTGAGGCAAATTCAGATTGTCGCACTCTATTGGAAGTATTAATACTGGATCAAAATTAAAATCGTTTTTGTGTAAGTGGGTACAGACAAAGATACTAGAAACACAAGATAGAGTTCTCCACAGAAAAAAAGTGTTCCACCAAAATGCATTGGTGGGAATACCAACAATGGGGCGCCGTGTACGGCTTGATCTAAAAAATTCTGCCAACGTTACATAACTGTGAATACATAATCTCCTTTTGCAGAGGTTGAAATCATTGCTATTATCCATAAGATACAAACAAGTAGGCATAAAGAAATCAAAACAATAAAATGACACACAAAAGCGTAGAATCGTATAACTTGACTCTGATTAGTGATAAAGTTTTCCTCCATTAGTGGAAAAAGAAGGGCGCCGTGTGCATCTGGATATACCTAGCAACAGAAGGGCGCCCTGTACGTCTGGACCAAGTATAGAGAACTTACATTATAAAAAGAGAAGGGTGCTGCGTACGCCTGGACCAATTTCTGCCTCATTTTTGCTATGCGAGTGCTCTCTTGTATTTCTAGTATCTTTGGTACAGGGCATGATTCCTGCAGGAACCCCTACCAAATCATATTCCATAAGGTACTGAATTGGCTGACAATGCATCAAATTATCTTTCCCCCAATCATTTTATTTAATTGCTCTTGCCTTTCCCCTCCCCACTTCGTCAACCCTGATGATGATGGTGATGATTATAACGATGATGGATGATGATAATCCTTATGCTCATATTGACAATTACAGTACTGTAATTACAATTAATTACTTCAGTTAATTACAAATAAGCAGAACACAAAAACAAAATATTAAACAGCAAGTTAATACATTGACAATTCAATTTTATTAACAATAACTTTAGTTATCAGAATAATAGAAGTTGTTTAAGTGATAGGCAAAAACAATAGGAAAGTATACACATTAATAATTGATTACTATACAATAACTCAACCCATCACAAAAGGAAAACACTCCTAGCTACTCTGTAGGAGAATCATAAAAAATAACTTTAATAATAATAAACAATAATAATAAACCATTTTTCTCACCTGATGCACGTATATATAGCAAACATTTCATTTTTTTCTTTTTTTACTTTGTTTTATTCGATGGCGATGCAAAACAAAGGAAGACTACCCCTATGGTACCCAAACAGAATACAATAATTGTGGTTGGTCAAAATTCTGCAGGGATCTTTTTTATTTATTTATATTTTATTCCAATGTGCGCATTGCTATCATTACAATCATTTCTCGTTGACTCCATATAAAACAATCTTTAGATACAAAATATACAGAGGGAAGATACTTAGCTAGTCAGTTTCCCTCACTGGCTGCCAATGAAGTACAGCTGTGAAAGATACTTAGACATGGCTTAATTCATTACCTCAAAATTGGCACTGTTTTTGTCAAAATTGTACAAATGATAATATCAAATCTTTATTTTTCCTAATTTTGAATACTTTGATAGTAGAACAAATTCCAAACTAAATCTGGGAAAAAAACCATCTAGATATAATGCAGGTTATTGTCATGTCAACCAAGCATTACACTTGGTATCGCATATATTTAACACCTGTTAACCCTGTAATATGTGAATCCTCCATTTTATACACCTGTATTAGAGGTAATTTGCATATGCTTACACCTGTTGCTAGGCCACCTGGCATTGCAAACATTCACTTCAGCCTCTTCAATACACATTTTCAATTTCACTTTCAGTTAACTGAGTTCAAATTGTTAATAAAGCCTATGGTTGGGATGCCTTGTACTATTTTATTAAAATACAGAAGTAGTTTTCAACTAGTTATTCCAGCTTAAATGTAATTAAAATCATTGCCTATATTTTATTGGGCAATGCTTAAGTAGTAGTTTCATTTGGTCATCAGACCAAAATAACTTTTATTTCATACGAAGCATGTTTATCAACCATCCAGCTTATTAAATGTATTTTTTCTTAAAAAATGTTTGATGGACTAAAACCATAAATCCTATAAGACAACATATATGTACGAAAGCAATATGAATTTTAATTTCCAGCAGCCTAAGTCATATTTTGGTTATTATTCACTTGTTCATCTGTAATACTGAACAATAATCAAAATACTGCCTCTTAATCTAATACTACATTTAAAGTATGACACTATTTTAAAAATCTTTAGACATAAAAATATGAAAGTTGAAAAAAATTGTAATTAAAGAACTTTCATTTTTCGTCACACACTAAAAAATGATATTATCGGTGGCCTAAATTTATATAGAACTGCCGAGAATCAAATGAATACTTGGTGATATAAATTTCAAAATTCTAATAAAACCTAAAAAATAAATCTCATTTTAGTAATGAGATTTGTTTCATATAAATTTGGGGTTAAAGCTTTGTCCAAACTATACAAATTGTAGTTACAACTACAGGGGATTTGCCAATATGGGGATGATATATGTCAAACATCCACATATTATCAAACCACATGTATGTGTCACGTCAATGTTGATAGTATTGACAAAACTACATAGCAAAAAGTTAAAAAAAAATACAATGTTCTCATTCCCTACCTCATTCATTCTTTTCTTTTGAGCTACTTTCACAAGCCAAAAATCACAGAAAACCTTGCATATACCAAAATATCCCCGTAAGCCTGATTTCCATAACATCGCTACACTGTCGCTACAATATTTTCACTGCAAACGTTGTACTGCGTAGCAGCCCCTAACGCAATCAGGAAGCCTCCCTGATTCGACTGATCAATCAGCATCACCAAAAGCTATCGGATAGCATGTAGCGATTTTATGAAAACCAACCATTAAAGCATATCAATGTGTCTTGACCAGGCCAAGCTCACACTAGGTGTGCAGATAATTGTTTATAGTTGCATTTCAATGTGTCTTGACCAGGCCAAGCTCACACTAGGTGTGCAGATAATTGTTTATAGTTGCATATCAATGTGTCTTGACCAGGCCAAGCTCACACTAGGTGTGCAGATAATTGTTTATAGTTGCATATCAATGTGTCTTGACCAGGCCAAGCTCACACTAGGTGTGCAGATAATTGTTTATAGTTGCCATCTTTTTAAAGGAAAATGGAAAAGAGCAAGGATTCTTTTTCTTTTATTTTACAAAAAATTAGATGCATTGTATCTTTTTTATTTGGCCTCTAAAGCTATTAATTTTAAATGCTACTCCCAATTTTCAACTATGGATAATATATTAATGGCAATGGACTTCTGTACACATATACAGAGCACAAGTTGTTCTTATTGTATCAGCATAATATATTAAAATTTCATTCCACAGTTTTTCACAACAAATAAATAGAATAAAAATTGAAAACTTTAAAAGTTAAAACATAGCCCATTAAATTGATTTGGACATCAAATAAAGTAAAATTCAACAATGCACAAATAAAGTAGGTGTAGCCAGAATATGTATGCATGTACAGTATGTGTGTAAGTAAACATGTGTGTGCATGTACATATTTCTGCTTGTATACCCACATATGCATTATGTATACATTTATGCATTATCATGGTATAAATGGATGGCATTAATGCTGAAACTGTAAACATACTGTACACATATTCCAAATTAATTATCTATAATTATACTTCATGAATAATTTGCAAAAATCCAGGAGTATTTGCTAGTAGAGTGAATGCAAGTTAAGACTCAGCACTGTGAACAAGTAATTATTCAGACTAGTGCTCCTCAACTGCAAGTCATTTATTAGTTTATAAATATTAGCAGTTAATTTATTGTTAATTTATGTAAATGAGTTTCATAAAATTATATAAAAGTTCCTATTTTTTGTGTTGTCACAGATTTTTCAAAGTAAAACTTAGGAGTTACATATTTTAAACAATTTTCAATGAATTTAGCTGTTCTGTAAAGCTGACTGTGTCCAAAATATAATTCCTATTTTCCAAAAATATATACTTTTCATCATTTAGGTCAACATGTACTGACTCTGCAACAATCTGTGGATTTGACCTCCCATAATGCATCACCAGTATCGTGTTTATATTGGCAAGTGGTACAATTTATACAATAGTAGATATAATACTATACAAAAGGGAAACGAACACAAAGTCTTGATTACAATCTCTGTAAAGTTATTTACATTTGCTTGGTCAAGGATGTACAGTCACAAATTATACACATCTTCCCCACCCCCACCCCTTTGTACTACCCTCCCAGACTACTTACTACCCTAAGAAACTGCGTATTACTCTCACCTTCGAGTCAAGAGGAAAACCTTACAACTCAGAGAAAATGAGCAAGACATGCAGCTACAAAACTCAGCATTTCATTTTAACGATACAAGGATTAAAAATCTGATAATTCTTGTAAGAACTGTTTAAAAATAAATCATGGCCACATTTGACTGTGTTATGTTCAAAAATTGAACATTTTTGACTGACAATAAGCAAAAACATAATATGCAAATTGTTTACAGGACAATCACGATTTTAACACAAGATTGTTGAATTTTAAGATTTGTCCTTGCATATTAATTCCAATGATAAACTAATGAGACATTTTAAAACTGTCAATTATTTTGGACACAAAACTTACTAATAAAACTATCTTCCACATTTTTTCCACCAAAATATGAACAGCGCCCTCAGTGTTTAAATGCATTAACAGCAAAGATCTTATAAACACAAGATAGCGTTCTCCGCGATTTACGCGTAACAAATAGAAGCGTCGGTCAAGGTTCAAAAGTTTCCAATTTAGCAAGAGGGCGTCATTCATGCGCTATTATACCAAAGTACCCTATCCTATGCTGCCCACTTCTAGACCTGTCTCTTATACACATCTAGATGTGTATAAGAGACAGCAGTAAGGTATGGTCATAGCGGTCAAAGGTCAAAAGTTTCCTTTTTAGCAAGAGGGCGCCATTCATGCCTTATTACAGAATTTGCACGCGTAAATCGCGGAGAACGCTATCTTGTGTTTATAAGATCTTTGATTAACAGCAATCACACCATCATTCACACACTTCACAAACACGGATACACGCATAGAAACACACCGACACACACAACTGGCCTCTGCTGTCATAGAACTTCATTTTAATAACATTTTCTATCATACAGTCACCATTCTGCTGTAATAAAACCTGTTATATACACATTGGCACATAATACAAACTCCTTTCCCCTTCCCTGATTGAAATCAACATCCCCTCCCCCACAGCTTGTTATAATAACCCCAATGAATACCCTGTTCATATTTAAAATCAGCTGAATCAACTTCTTCTTTTCATCCTACAATACATACACAGTACCTCACCTAACAACGCAATACATGAAGTATACACAGAAGAGGGGAATATATCTATGTACTATTAATAAGACGTAGCCTTTGACACTCCAAGACGGATGCTAATAAGTATAACATACCTCATTACTTACAGTACAACTTAACCCAAATTCTAAAATAAAACTTCAGATCTTATCTTAACAAGGTGAGCAAAGCAACAGAAATTTACTATTTATCGCTATGTTGATTCTGAACTTACACCAACAATCCTAAATGTTTTCTGTGATTATTAATCAAGAACTTTTAACTGCACAGATAAAAATCCTTGTATAAATGTTCTCTGTAAAATGGTCTTATGCACCGCTTTGCTAGGATATGTAAACAGTCAACTGTACAATATATCTTGTGCCTGTATTCAATGCAATATCTGTCCATGTTTCATTCACATGATGCAGAAAATGATTACAGAATGCAGGTGTCTTGACTGACTAACCCCCTTGATCAGCCCTGAGGTAGGTCATTAAGGTACAAATGCACTGTAACACCAGTATACCCCATCATCATGGGACCCAGTGTGCTGAGAAGAAGTTTGTTTCCCCGCCCCTGATATACAATATTGTAATACGATTGTTGATACCACTTTAGGAGTCACTGTGTATATATGATGTTACTGGTATCCAATAACTGGGTACAAGGTAGCATACCCAACAGCTTATAAATCTAAAATAATTGTTCATTTTATCACCATTTAAATCCTAATTAACTTTAGTAGAAAATTAAATCATATGATGAGCTGAAAGTGGATGTCTGCTAATGAGCCAGATAAGCACAATCTGCACACGCTCAGATGTATCTTCAAATATCAAGCACAACATATCAGCACCACCACTGATCACCCCGGTTCCTTACGCATTACTAAATCAGGCTGGGGCACATGTATGGGCTAACAGAAATACTCTACCAATGTGATCAAATTCAGTGTCTGTATCACCCCTTCACATTCCGTGTTCAACAAGTGCCCACGTTTAGTTTGGTTTCTTCATGATAGATACTGATGCATGAGAAGTAATTCTCATCAGGGTTGTTAGCCTGAATCTTGTAAAAGTTTCTGTAATAAGCTATTGCTACCTGTAGACTCGTGAGATTCATTCTGTGATTGCTGAAGAAAAGAAATAAAAACAAAATTGAAATATATATGAACAGATACAAATATTGTTTGAAAATATATTATACACCAGTTAAAAAAATATTTGTATGACTAGAAATATCTCGGTGTCCTTTTTGTAACAGCATTTACAGGAGCATCAACAAATATGATAGGCATTTTGTAAGACTTGTTTTTCCTGTAATATAAACACTTTATAATAATGTAGATAAATTTATATAGTGTTTCATACTCAAATCAATCAAGTGCAAATTTTATTGTGAGGTAAATCTGCTTCTGGATAATATGCAACATTAGAGTTTGCTGCCCTCAAACAACATGTTCTATGAATGTAATAATGGTCAAATGTTTTATGTATGTTTGATTTTATTTTTTTATGTAATTGTAAATCAGCAAACCAAGTCATTTAAAATTACAGGTCTCCCTCTAATTAAAGACCACTTTTGCGACTGAGGTTTTATATAGTCTTTAGCATTGTTGGTCTCTAATTAGAATAATAAAGACAGAAAAGTTGTCTTTAATTCAAGGTGGTCTTTAATTGAAAGAGTCTATAATTAGAGGGAGACCTACAGTTGTGAGTCAGTAGGGAGCGGATTCACTCATGCATGACCGTTGTATATTTTCTGCACAACATAGATTTAGTCAAATTGCATCATAGAATCCAGAGAAATTAACGTTCTCGCATTTGCAGATGAATTATTTGTGAGGTTATAACGTTCTAGATTCTACCACGTTTCAGTCTCACCTGTCTTTCTAGGGATCCTTGGTGAGCATTCTTCATGTTTTGCAACTGGTTTTCTGCCGGTCGGATTCCTTGTAATTGGTTTTTAAAGAGGTTTGTCACCCTCGTTCTTGCATCTGGTGCCTGCCTGGCATCCGACATATTGTAAAAGTTGTAGTATCGCTGTTTAGCCTCCTCACGACGTTGTGTTTCTAGTGGGACTGATCCCTGCTCATTGCCTGGAGTAGTTGGTGTGTTAGAATTGCAGGGTTTGCCATTTGATTGTTGAATTTCTGCAAAAAATTAATTTGATAATTATTAAACATTATTATTGGTGATACTGGTTCACATCTAACTACTGATAATCATAATAAAAACTATTTAAGGTATATAAAGTAGTAAGTAAAGTAGTACATAAAGTCCCTTCCAATTAAAGACAACCTCCAATTAAAATTTTCTCTAGTCCCATATCAACAAATGCATTTCATCTATATTATTCTAATTATAAACCAAAACTGCTACAAACCATGAAACCCAGGTCACAAAAGTGGTCTTTAAAAAGTGGAGAGAGACCTGTCTAATACCCAATTCACACGTACACCAAATGCAACAAGTTTTAAAAAGATGTAACACACACGATCTCACAAGTTAGGACAATCGTTTTCACACGTATATTCTCGAACCATGTAATATATCGGAAGAAATATTGCGAATCAATAGATAGGCCTATGTATATAATAATAAGCAATTAGTAGAGCTCCGCTTAGTACACTATAGGAAAATTATTATACGAAGGTTAGATTTAATGCTTGAAAAAATATCCTGAGGGCCTGCAAGGCCTGAAGGAAACTTTTGAATGCATTAAATCTAACCCAAGTATAATAATTTTCCATTAGTGTACGATGCATGCGCTACCAATTGCTTTATAAGTCAATCGCCGTCTTTTAATTTTAGTTTTTTATACCCAACTGTTGTAGCAGTCATCGTTGCTATAGTGATATGATCAGTATATGTGTACGTGCGTATTTACATTTAGCTGTGCGTATGCTGATTTTTGCTCCTGCAGTACACATTTAATTAACTACACATCAACAGTACAGTACGGATACGATGAATAACTATTGTAATTTGTATTGTGTTAGAAAGAACTTGTTTGTAATGCTATTTTGATAGACTTTCGTCAAAGAAATAAACATTTCAGCATTCGAGAGAGAATTCAGTCACTGACTTCCTTTTTAGTCGGTGTATGCAGATAGGTAAAATCGTGCGATGATTTCATATCTAGGCCTAGGCTAGGCTACGGCCTAGTAGTAATAGGAGGCCTGGGCGGCCTCCTGCCTGGCTGTAGGCCTACATCTAAAGTTGTTCCTTGAGTCTTTAAAATAGGTCTAGAATATTCCTATTAAACATTCATTTTGTTGTGTTTATAACGGTCAATTGATTCAATGAATTCCATAATTGTTCATACTCTATATCGAAGTTGAAGTAACTTTCTTCGGTTTCTAATTAAGCTTGTTTTACGAAAGTAATTTTCAATTACAATTCAATTTTTATCCCGATGCGCGATGTATTCGCGGTGACGAGAAAATGAGGAATTTTTTTTTGCACACGAACCTAAAAAAAATCAAGCCAAGTGTCCACTAATAGAAAAATTGGTGGACACTGGGGAATAGGCAAATAACATTGTGAGTTACAGGGATGACGTCACGATTGACTTATAAAATCGTTTATAGTACTATACAGGGATCTAGCACAAACAGATCCCAACTGCGCTAGTCCCTAGGTGCCTTTATTAGGTAAAGATAAGCTGGGAGGCTAGCGTATGTCCGATTCTATCACCGCCTTGCTTGGCCAGCTGAGAATCTACCTAGGCTAGGCTAGGTCTAGCAGGCTAGCTAGCCCGATTCATGAATCTTGCCGGCGTTGCTGTAATATGCGGCAAGCAGTCCAGATAATACATTTTTCTGCCGTTCTCATAAAACTTGATTGTGGAAAACTTGATATAAAATTCGAGTGCATCTTTCCTGGTTATTAAGTAACAACACAGACACCATATTATTTATCCCGTCGAGAGGAGCACATTGAGCATGTGCTGTAACAAGCCGTAATCTTTACAGGCCACTTCGAGGCCGGTAATGATTACAAGTTGTTACGAGATAATACAAGATTTCACAAGCGACTTTACCGAGATTGTGGCATTCACACAGTTATCCTTGCTAAAACTTTTAAAAACTTGTTACATGTGTATGTGTGAATTATTTATAGGGTAAGTTGTTACGAGATAATACAAGATTTCACAAGGGACTTTACCGAGATTGTGGCATTCACACAGTTATCCTTGCTAAAACTTTTAAAAACTTGTTACACGTGTACGTGTGAATTGGATATAAGAATGATCATCATGTGGAGGGTGCTTATTTACTTAGTCAAGGAATAAACAAGAAAATACTACTTAAGTATACAACTAAGTCAAGCCAAGAGTTTCCTTGTGATTGTCTTACCTTGCTGTAGAAAGTTGATTGTCATGTTCAGTTGATCATCATCCATCGCTGGGGCCGGGGCAGCACCAATATTGAAGTTGGACGAATTTGGATTTTTATTCTGGTTGGCATTCATAGGGTTCATGATTGAGCTTCCTACTTGTGGCATCTGCAAATAAGATATATAGATCATGTGATTAGTCAGTTGATCATGTGATTAGTCAGTTGATCAGTCAGTCAGTTGATCAGTCAGTCAGTTGATCAGTCACTCAGGTGATCAGTCAGTCAGGTGATCAGTCAGTCAGGTGATCAGTCAGTAAGTTGATCAGTCACTCAGGTGATCAGTCACTCAGGTGATCAGTCACTCAGGTGATCAATCAGCCAGGTGATCAATCAGCCAGGTGATCAGTCAGTAAGTTGATCAGTCAGTCAGTTGATCAGTCAGTCAGTTGATCAGTCAGTCAGTTGATCAGTCAGTCAGTTGATCAGTCACTCAGGTGATCAATCAGTCAGGTGATCAGTCCACTCAGGTGATCAGTCAGTCAGGTGATCAGTCAGTAAGTCATCTGCAAATAAGATATATAGATCATGTGATTAGTCAGTTAATTGATCAGTCAGTGATCAGTCAGTCAGGTGATCAGTCAGTGATCAGTCAGTCAGGTGATCAGTCAGCCAGTTGATCAGTCAGTCAGTTGATCAGTCAATCAGTTTATCAGTCAATCAGTTGATCAGTCAGTCAGCTGATCAGTCAGAAAGTTGATCAGTCAGACAGTTATCTTTTATAACCATGTGGAGTATTTTCAAGTTGCTGTCATCAAATCCTGAAATATATATATATTTCACATCAGTTAAAATCAACTGATTCATTGTTTTAAATTTACCTGATTGCTTAGAGTTTCGTTGCTATTCCTTCGAGGGATCATTCGGTCCATGGGACCAGAGTTCATACCACCGTACATATCTGATGAGGATGCTTGCGTAGCCATAGGTCCTGAGAACATGCTTGACGGCATTTGACTGACTGAACTTGATTGGTTCCACCTCATCTGATTCATTGCATCACCCATTCCGCTAGCACCGCTCATACCGCTCATTCCGGCAGTGCCCATCTGGCCTTGCATTCGCATTTGATTCTGGTTTTGTGTAACCATTGAATTTGGGTTCGGACCACGGAAGTTTGAAAAATTTGAGTTGCTGCTCATGTACTGATTAGTGGGCATGCCCGTATTTGGCATTCCTGACATATTCATAGCAGGATTTACACCTGGATTCTGTCCCATATTTGAAGGTGGAATGTTTGGGTTAAGCCCCGTCGTTGGGGCCATTGATGCCCGGGATTGTATGCCTCCCCCACTTTGCATTCCAACACCTGGTTGCATTACACCCTGCGACTGCATACTTCCGGGAATCGGCATCCCACCTGGAGCCTGCATACCACCAGGCGTCTGCATGCCTGCAGTGTTTGGCATGCCACCTGAGTTTGGCATTCCACCTAGCGTTTGCATACTAGAATTTGATAAACCACCTGCATTTGACATACCACCTGCATTTGGCATAACACTTGGGTTCTGCATTCCGGCATGCTGTGGATGCTGCATTCCGGCATGTTGCGGGTTTTGCATGGCACCCATCATATTATGATTTCCTTGCATGCGATTGTTCATAGAATTTGGATTTCCGTATGGCATATTCACTCCAATTTGTTCCTGGTATGGGAATGAATTTGGATTAGGTCCCATATTGCCGCCATACTGGTTTGAATTCATCATCTGATTAAACGGCGGCAATCCAAAATCTCCCGTCCTGTTAGCTTGCGGAAACATTTGATTGCTCATTCCTCCTTGACCTCTGACTCCCATTTGTCCACCTGACATCATTGAGTTAATTTGATTTGCTGATGGCATGGACCGACCTGGCATTGCTTGAGGTCCCCCGAATCCTGATTTCTGTAACACAATGGAAGTTCCATCTTATTGAAGACATTCTTTCATACTTCTTTTATATAATTCAAATATGTTAGTGTGCATTTTTTTGTTGCTGTTCTTAAACTTGTTGTATGGTGGTGACGTAGACTACACAATGTGCTGTAAGGCTTTGCAATTCCCAAAATCGTTGAGTAAACATGTGTAAAGATTGTGTATGTGCATACTTGTGCTGTACACGGAAAGGTGTGCCTGGTTTACATGCTTGACAGGGCAATTATTTTATAGACTTATTTATAATTATCTTTGTTTTCATTCCGTGTACAATAAGTAGAATTATTTTGATATGTAAGTGATCAGGAATTCCACTGAAGCACCAAAATTAACATAGTGGTTAGTATGTTCAACAGAATCTTACGAATCAGTTCCGAAGTGTTAGTTGCTGGTTAGTGATCGCCCTGTGTCTAAGTATGATATTAATATACCTGTATGCTAACATTAGGAGCCGCACTTGCCGAGGGACTAAGCATATCTCCAAGTTTTTCGGTGTAGTTGTGTGTGTCCATTCCTGGGAACATTCCATCAGTCTATCAACAGTAAAAATGACACAAAATAAATATTCTGTTAAGCTCAATTATACTTGTATTACAGGCAAATCACTGGTATGTAGAAAGGAATCTTTGTGCACAGGCCAGGCCAATGGTTGGTAGTAGTAATGAGAGGTAGGCAAGTAGATAGGTAGGCCTGGCCTATGACAATGGGCAGGCTCGTACTAAGCTAGATTTATGTATATCAGATGTCATAGCATTTCATGAGTTTTTGGTTTAATAACTTTTTTTTATTCATTATCAGGTTATTTTTTTTTCCATATTTTGCATCTGGTGTAGAAACTACTGCTACAATGTTTTCCAACCAACAAAAATAGTGTAACAATATGGAGACAACATCCTTCTAAAGATCCCATTACAATTACTTGAGGAAGTAAAACAACATAGCTGAATTCAATGAACCTAGTGGTTAACCACTGAGTGTTCAATGACCCATTACATTTGTTTCCCTGATCCAAAGCCATTCATCTGCCAGAGGGCATCCAAACTATTCTCCACTAACCCTGTGGGGTCGAAAGTAACCTATTTTCAATTTACAAATACTATTCTATGCATAATAGTTTAAACTTTATTGGCTGTTTGAAGATAGAAATAAAAAGACAATAATAATAGAGTGGTAAAGAGAATGTTTACATACCTGTGGTACAGTAAACCTCTGGAATGATTGCTGATGGTGTAGCATTTGAAGTTTCTCTTGCTGTACCCTGCGCAGATGTGGTGTCATCCCTTGCATCTGGCCTGCCATTTGCTGCTGCCTCATCAGTTGTTGTTGTTGCTGCTGCTGCCGTTGCTGTTGCAATGCCCACTGCTGCTGCTGTTGCTGATGCTGTTGCTGATGCTGCTGCTGTTGCTGCTGCTGCTGCTGTTGTTGCTGATGTTGCTGTTGTTGTTTGGTCTGCTTGCGTAGAATGTTTTGGCGGATTTGCTGCGTTGGTTTGTTGAACATGTCACCAGTGCGCATTCCATTACCAGTAGAGGGCAGTGACATTTGTTTCTGCAAATTAGCAGGTCTAGGTTGCATTGCATTCATCATCTAGTAAAATACATACAAAATATCAACAACATGCGCTGCAGAATAGTGGCAATAGTCATGCTCTAAACCTCCACATCATAGTAGAAAGATGCAGAAACTGCTGAAATTAAAATACACATGATAATTATACCTTATTGGTTACACATTATATTCACATTAAGCTGGTATAGTGCGAGTATAAATTACTCCCCGTAGATGCCAGATCCTTAGCCTATTTATTAGCCTATTTAAGTTCAATGCCCACTAGGTATTACTTATTCAATGGACTACATATCAGTGTACATAAAAATCATGTTATATATACAGTACATAAAATGATTATACTTCCGCAAAATCACAGATATGATTAAAGATTAAATTTTCCATACCAGGGAACAATTTCAGAACTAGTCATTAAAGATTGTGGATATACACAACGCAATAACTTTTGCAAATGTCCTCAAATTCAACAAAAAAAACGAGCTACCTGCCAAATTAGAACAAGCAAGGGCAGGAAATGTGCCAAGCTTGATGGGACTGAAATGGGAGAAATAGCGGTGAATTAGAGCGCCAGTGTCAAGGCTAGATTGCAATTAGCCCAGGCCTTCAAAAACAGGATATGACACATCTCAGAGTTCTTAATGATTTCCTAAGATCTTGTTTTTGATATCACCACTGTTAATAAGCATAGCCAGCAACGCCACACGACTCTTCTAGCAAATGCTAATTATTTGTGAACTAACAGGTAATCGTTTGTGAACGAAGAGGTAATTTCATCATAAACTGACTACTGTAAGCCGTACAACGTAACCAAAGCCGGGGAACTGATTAAGGAGTTATTTGACATGGTCATCAAGTGCAAACTGACAATCCAGGACTCCGTATTTATGTGAACATGAACTCAGCACTTTTAATTCCAACTATAGAGGGAGACATTTAAATGCAGAGCAAATAAAACAAATATTAAACTTAATATCAAAAGATGATATAACACACAAGCCAGGCAGTGATTATAAGACAAAAATACAATATTGATTACTCATTGAGTTGAATTGTTAGTGAGAACGTCAAGATGTTTTTGAGTAACTTAGAATGAAAAGCGTAAGAGGATGTTGCCAAACAAAAGCATTATCATTTCAGGTGCCAAAGTAAACTAAACCATTCAAGTCATTTCCGTGTCCTTTATTAATTTTGTAATTTCAAATGCTGCAATATGATTGGTTCTAAGATCAACTGTATTACCTAATGTGGATTTTCTAATGTAGATTTCTACATAATTTTCTATCAGACCTAGAATTATGATCTTTTTAACTTTGGTATAAAATTGGAGACAGGATTTAAGTAGACAATGAAGAGTAAAGAAAACTAAAGTAGAATAAAATAGAACATTTTGAGTATAGAAATAATAAAGTAAATGATTATGGTTATGAAGTTGAGTGTTTGCATGCATGCTTATTTGGGTTATGAGTTAAGTTTGCAGTGAGGGGTAAATTTTTTTTTTTCTTCTTTAATATCTAATGTTAAGTGCATCAAAGCCCCATTTTGCACTATAAAGTATAACATTATTATTATTATACTTATTGTTATTATGAATGATGACAATGATGATGATGATAACGATGGATGAGGAAGAATAAATTGATCACTATTATGACAAAATAGCAAAGATATCTTCGAAGTGGAACTGTGGTTTGATGCATGCTATTGTGATCTAATATTTCAAACTTGATTTTATCATCTCTTACACCAAGCTAACTTACTCTTTAACCTCCATGGAGTATTTTTAGTTAAAATATTAAGAATAATAAGAACAAAACAAAATAAACATACCTGTCCCTGGGATGTTTGTGAGGTTGGAAACCTTGGTCCCATCATATGACCACTATTCTGGGGTGACAACATGTTTGGCATTTGCTGTTGTCCCTGTTGCTGTTGTTGTACACCGTACCCCATGTTATTCGGATGCACACCGTTGTTCGGGGACTGCGTTACCTGAGGACTATTCTGGTCAGCTGGGAAAATTGAGAGCACATCGCTGCCGTCGTTTGGCGGCGTGCTCACTATATTGTCTATACGGAGAGCAGTTGATATATCTTCATTGAATGACATATCATTACTTATTATTCTTTCGAGGTGCTGCATGAAAACATCATCGTCAGGCATTGTGTTATTACCGGTGTTGTTCTGCGACATTCCCATGTTCTGCAAAGCAAAATACATCTTTCGTTAGGTGCAACAATTTTATATGTCATCTTAAGGCATACACCTATCTCACTATAGGTGTTCATAAGCATTCATTTAAAAAAAAAAACCAAAAAAAAAAAAAACCATCTTTGTATTTTAATATACATTTTTACTCTATACTTTTCTGAATAAAATATGGATAATAAAAAATCAAGGTAGCATTTAGGTAAGGGGTCTGTGATAATATTGTACTTAAGATGACAATATGGTTATATAACTATTTTTCTGCTTTCTTAAGACAGAAAACCTTAATAGCGAGGTATAAATAACAACAAGATAACAATAACAATCAGTGGCTACAACTAGCAACAAATTGAAGTTATCTTCAGTACTGCACTAGGTATGTGGCATATCTGTGACTGTCTGAATATTGAATAGTAAAAGGATTGTCAATGTAAATGCAATGATGAGTTAAATGAATTGATAAAATGTCAGAGAAATTAGTTTAAAATGCATCATTACGAAATAACGTGGGTGTAAGTACACATGTGCAAAATGCAGATGCGTCACGTTGTATTAAAATTCCTATTTTTATGGACGCTCTATCACTGGAAGATAAATATAGTAATTCTAAATCAATACACAGCATATAGAGAACAAAGAAAAAAATTAAGTTTCAAACGAATGCATAGGATTGGCTAGTAAAACATCCACAAAATATTCAACACATGTAACAAATAAGAGGAAGAAATATTAGGTAGTTTTAAAGATGAACGATGTTTTAATCATTCCCAATCTCACATGTTAAGTACAAATTATACTTTAAAAAGGTCAACGGTGGAATAGATAATAGTATAAATGCACCAAGTATCATAGTAGCAGACAGAACGTGTTATTGTTCACGTAGAAAGCAGTGTCACACTGGCTTAGCATGTCCCAGCTTTTATCTCGTGGGCAATCGTATTAACAGAATTGATGGGAGAGAAGCTAATATGTCTTTTATGGAGACGAATCGACCACCTTCAGTGTATGGACGATATGAGCAATTAGCAATTATTACTAATAATAAGACCGCCGCCAATGTAACCCTACAAAAATTATTAAACAGTATAGGCTGTAGGGAAGCAGAGAATAGGTTATTCTTATGATTAAGAAAAAGCTTCTTAAAAAACATTAAATTTAGAAAGCAATCTATTTATCCTGTTCGACGGTGCACAGGGGAGAAATTCCTCAAATCTATCAATGCTGATTATTAATGATGCCATGGATCCTCATCGAAAATCTTACAAGATTCCTTTGAACAATGCTGCACATCCAGACTAACTTTAATATAGTACAGACAAATTTCATATTTAGGACACTACAATTTATGCTCAGGCTTAATTTGATATAATTATTATTTTTTGTCACATCAATGCTTTCTACAATTTTTTTGCTTTATTCACACTCAAAATTAATATTATAACCTATCAATTTAGCATTAAAATATAAATTCCTTTAAACATAAATATTGACCAACGATAAAGTGAAGTCCTTAATAGCAGCTCTAATTTTGAAATAAATGCCCAGTATGATGTAGAGCTAGATACTCATCGCTTGTTTACATCGATCAAGGTCAAGATTTATGTCATACAGTATCCAAGTTTAATGGTGCTGTGAATCAAAGATCTTAATCTTAACAATATATTAACATTTGTGAAAAAAATCATCATTTTTTAACAATAATGCACCAAATAAAAAGTGCATAATTGTGGCAAAGACAAGCCAAACCAGTCACTCGTCGCAAATCGTGTTTCAGAGAAAATGGCCAAAACATGCTGGAACGTCAAATTTAAAAAAATCTATTTTATCGCACTAAACTAACCTTTATATATCTACACATCATTCAATGCTGTTATTTTTCCCATTTTCAATGTTAAAACAATACTTTTTAAGGAGCAGCTGTTTGGTTAAACGCTTGCAAGTTCATAAGGAAATGTCCGATTTTAATGATTTTTTTACCATTTTATAGCTATTATTTTACTCTCTAACACTTTATTAATAACTCAAAATCAATTTTTGCGACGAGTGACTGGTTTGGCTTGTCTTTGCCACAATTTGCTTTTTGGTGATAATTTAAAAATAAAACCCAAACATCTACTCTTAGTTAAAGTGTAAATTGCAGTCATAAATGTAGGCCTACATAGTGGCAGTCAACTTTTGTTTATGATTCAAATCTTGTCCTACAAGTTAAAGGTCATAGATTAAGCAGAATATTAAAACAAATAAAGACAACTTAAATTAAATCATAAATAATAAAACCTACTTTAGTTTAAAAATGTACTAACTCATGTATTGTTGGCGCTACATACTTATCCAAATATAAGATGATGTATAACATTTAAAACTACCACATAATGTGTGAGCTTTGTAGTTAACCATTCATAGCACCTTTGTAAAGCAAATGACGCTATATATATAAATAAATAGAAATGTGTTTATACCAACATTATTATACACATAAAAACAATCTTGAAATTTGAAACACACATATTAGCCTCAACAGCGAGTGTTTATGGGCATCACCATATATTCATTCAATTTAGGCATCAGACTATTATATTCCAATTTACAACACAATTTTCCATGAGTTGTCTACTTCTTACGACCAGTAAACCTGAGCATTGCAAATTACTTTCTACAACAGCTAATCCTGTCACTTATACCATGAGGTACGCGAATTCAAACAATTTCATTTTTAAGGAAAAGAAACCACACTTTTAATCCAACTCTATTATTTATATTTTACCATTAATGTAGGTTGGCATAATTCATCAAAAAAGAAACATGACCTGAATATTAATGAGGTCATCCAAGATGGCCATCATGGTGCCAAGTGATTAATTATACACTATGGTATACTACTGAATTCATTAAAAAAAAAAAACCATTCAGAAGAAAATGCTAAATAAAGCAAAAATGTATATAAAATTAAAAACTCGGATTATGTTTGCTAGTTGCTAATAGTTTACTTTTCTTGAAGTTTGTAACTTATAATAATAGTCTATAGTAAAATAATTTTAAACAAGCATGGTTCTTGTGGAGCCTTAGAAAAAATTCTATTCTACCAATATACAACATGTGAAGTGTTGCATGATGTGAGGTCATGATAATTTCCATGTTATAAATATAACACTACTATACTATTTAAAACATACATGATTTTGTCCTTTTCCTGTAACTATTGCTATGGCTAGTGATACATAATATTGAATGAACAGACCGTGGAGGAATTATTCCTCCATAAACAGAGCTACTACCTATGTTAACATGCGTATTTTGGTTTAGTACATTTTTGAATGAGCAGACCATGAAAGAATTATTTCTCCATCAACAGACCTACTACTGTCTGTTAACATTGTATTTTGGTTTAGCATTGTAACAACTCTTGTCTGGATGTCTGAAAACAAAATAATTGTATTCAGGAGAATCTACACTTTATGTCACATCTTTGACACGTCACATTTTGCCACGATACACGCGTAACTACATTCGCATTCACACAACCAATCATACATGTTCAGGAAACATGTGAACTAAAAGACAATGACAACAAACCTACTATATTCTGATTAAGTCACTATTTACACGCGAAACCGCAACTGCCATAGTTGTATATTACATTAGTATTGTTTATAGATGATTAAAAACACTGAGGAAAATAAATTTTTGTATATTATATTAGTATTGTTTATAGATGATTAAAAAAAACTGAGGAAAAAAATTTTTTTTAGATGATCAAAATTATAATAATAATCTAATACAAAGCACCAGCTATTCAAAGCCACATTTTTAAAGATGTATTGTCCGTTGCTAATGTCAAAAAATCATAAAAAAACAATTTTGAAATAAACTTGCTCATATTGCAACAGCATACAAAATATTAACTTGTTCATAAAAATTATTGAATTTAAAAAATGTGTACCCTGATTTTTAAACCAAAAAATTATAACAAAAATAATAAATCACTTCCAGTCACTGGAAGTGTTTCTATCATTTTTCGCTGTAAACTGATGGGTAGACATTTTTTAAATACACTAATTTCTATGTTCAAGTTGATAACTTTTATGTTACTTCAAAATGGGCAAGTTAATTTCAAAAAATACTTTTATGATTGTTTTGGTATCTAACAATACATTTTTAACTCTGTAACTGGATACCTAAGCTGCCATATTATACTATGTGGAATTCCTCCACCCCCAGGAGAATATCCAGTCTTAATGTAATTCAACATTTCTATCTCACTCACCACCTTTCGCCACTGCTCTACAGTGCTACACACTACTACTCTAAACTATTGTGTTCATTGGTATATTGCATCTCTATGGTTAAAATCAACTGGTCACATTGTATCTGAATGAATGAGAGACTACTTCAGAATACATATCGCTCAGTGTTTTTTTAATCACCTAACGACTATTGTAAGAGAGAGAAGCAACTGCTATCTCTTGGGGCTGTATGACGTACATATAGTAGAAAAAACATATGAAACACTGAAATACTTGAATCAATATACAAACCTACCACATCAACGTCATCAAATAAAGACACTTCACTAAAAAAATAGACCTTTAAGCAAACTAATAATAATCTTTCAAGGAAATGTAACACAGATGTAGAAGTAACATTTTCACTGCAAAACCTAAATATATTAATATTTGAATTTATAATAACATAAATGTCAATTTGCACATGCCACTGTCCATGGATAATATCCTCAAAATATTATATATTTCAAAAAGCGTGGATACAGAAATAAAATTCACAGTAGTCATTTAATGCAAACTTACTGTATGTAATGTGTGATGCTGTGTAGAATTTGAATCAGAACAGTTAGCCGTCAGATCTAATCAAACTTCTCATCATAGATATCTTGCCAATTCCCTCCAACACATTTCAAAATAATACGAACTGCATCGCAAAAATTATGCATGTGAGACGATGCATAGTGCTTCAGCCACATTATAAGTGAATGGCTA